CAACAGTACACTGGATAAACTGGCACGCACGTTCTGGAACGGGATACAACAGCAAGAGTAAGCTGAGCCACAAGTGAGCATGAAGCTACCATCAGATACAAAATAATCCGTACTAGACAACTTCCTTCATATGTGGCTCAAAACCACAATGGCACTGTGCTCAGGGATACCAATTTTGGTGGCAAACAACAAAGAAAGCAAGAGAAGTACTTGCAATAGTCGTTAGGTGCCTGGTCTGTTTCTAGTAGCCCGTGTTGATTTTGACCATCTTATATTGATAGTACTGCACTTGGGAGACTCAGGAAAGAGGACTTGAGTCAAAGCTGCTTCAACTATGCAGTGGGGAAAAAAATCAGAAACAGAGAGCTCTGACCAACAGATCTAAGTTAGAATGCTACAAGGCTATCCCATAGTTAGTTTCTAAAACGAAACACTGTGTTCCAAGTGCTTTAATGCAAAGGATCCTAAGTAAAAATACTTCTTAAAAGTTTACCTAACAGTTCACTTTTTCCTTAAGATTTAAGTAGGTAACAATGAAAATGAATAGAAAATATACTACAGTGCTAAAATGGCTACGGCCTATGAAGAGAGTCTGCTAAGGTTCACAATGACAAAGGACACAGGAAGGAACAGTGAGATAGAACACATGATATAAACTCAATACTGTCAGTCAATATAAGCCTACATAGTTGAAGAGTAATAATGAAATATGGATTGAGTACGTAGGAGGATAGCTCCTGCATGAGGAGTTACGATACTTTGATGATTCAAAGAAACTACATGTAGTGAGTGGGGGAAGAGCTGTAACGTCCAGATAAAACTAGACACAAGTAGATGGAAGCAAAAACTTTAGAATCTTAACAGAAAATTTACTCCAAATAGGGAAGGTAAAAGTTCAAAGATCACTGTTGCCATTCACAGAGCCACAAAAACAGGGAGGAACTGAACCCTCAAGACTATGTCTGAGGGGTCTTCTTTACCTAAGGCTTCCCATCCGCCTTGCATGGCAGTCTTATATAAAGTCCATGCTTTGTATGATGTCGAGCTACTGTAGTAGGTTTTGAGGCTGATTAAAAAGTTGCATCCCAACACCTATAACTATACCTCATCTCACAACGAAAGTTGATAAAGACTTTAGACACAGCCACTGTATGCTTGTGTGTATGTTCCGACTTCCTGTGTAGTAGACTAAACCAGCCATGGTATTCCTCCCAGCCCCAGCTGAGACTTGAACCTTGGGCCTCCAGCGTGATCAAGGCAAGTACTCTACCACCTAGTTCTATTTCTAGCCTTGGAATCCTGGTTCTAAACACAGTTCCCAGGTTTCCAGTAGAGGTGTGGATGCATTCCCAGAGGATCTACAATGTGGACACTGCTTTTGCAACAGTGCTAAGATGCCATTTGCCCTCTCCACTCATTGACATGTACACTAAAGCAACCGGGGTAAAAACAAACTGCTGACACCTCCACATGACCAGGGTAATGGTACAAAACTGCACCACTAGTATGACTGTCCTTCAGTCTTTAATGCCATGTAGTCACAGGTAAAAATTAGTTTTGCGCATCAGTTAAGTCATATCATTATTAACCCTTAAGGGCTAGGTTCACTGTTTTTATTTGTGTATGATAAACTGACAAGTGCAACATGCTGAGGGCTGTCCTAGTAAACAGTGTTTGTACAACTACCTGAATAACAAATCCAACAACTTAGCTGCTTTTACCTTCAAACACTGGATAGTTACCAAGTATAAGTATCCACATATGAGTATGTTGCATAGATTTTGTTTGACTCTATTCAAAAGGAACTCATTATTTCAAGTGCCTTTTTTTGGTCAGTGATAACACTTTTTTTTTTTTTGTCAGTGATAATCTGTCTAAGAAATTATTAGAGGTTTGGAAAAGTTTTGGAAAACTTGTGACTGCCCTGCCCACACTTCAATGCCATCAGTCAAAATTTAGGCAGAAGATGCTGAATCCCAACCCCTTTAACAAACTTCAATCGCCAAAAATATTACATTATGATTCTTAACAGTAGCAAAATTACAGTTATGAAGCAGCAACAATGTAGTTTTATGGTTGGAGGTTACCATAACATGAAGAACTGTATTAAAGAGTTACAGCACTAGGAAGGTTGAGATCCTTAACTGGTACTAACAATGTAAGGGGGATGAAAAATCTGGTAGGACTGTCAGGAGAGTGAATTTGGGGCTACAACTCATCTTCAGTTAGACTACTGACAGACGGTAGTGTAAAACAGTCAAACAGAACTGCTACCCAACACTGGAATGGCGTGTAGAATTTTGTTTACTCTACAACCCCCCAGTTAAAGGTATAGTCTCTAAGGAAATGAGAAGCATACAGGATATCCAGGTTATGACTGAAATTTGAATATATAAAGTATACTTCATCTTAAAGGAGACAGAAGCATTGGAAAGAAATGTAATAGTGACATATTGCTAGGCTGATATTCTATGGGAAAGGGCAGCTTTATGATAGAGTTGACAGTTACTACATAGTTACTAGTTACCAGTGAATGGTATCTGTAGTTCAACAAGTACACGGAGGCAAGTATTCTAAAATTAGTTTCCACATAGCTTGGTGTTTTAGCTTTCTACCTTTCCATTTCTCCTTTGTATAAACATTGTTTATAAAGAGGGAGCAAAAACAAAATCTTTTCTGACACTTACGTATCAAGAGCCATATTTCTACATCTTAGAAGATAGCACCAGAGTCTCAGTTATGAGCAGATACATAAGCATTATTCATGACAGATACTCAAAACCATAACAGGTATTTGAAATAATAACGTGGAGTTGCCAGAAATGTAGCTCATAGAGCAGAATGAACTTGATACCTCAGTATCTTTGACCTCCACCTTTAAAGATTCAACCAAAACAGAAACTCAACAGGAGGATTATCTGACAAGGAAAACCAGGTTATTTCAAATGAACATTGTCTACCTGCATAACACAAGAAAGGAAAGGGAAGGACCTAAAGAAAGAGATTAAGAAAAAGGCAAGTGAAGGCTGATCAAAAAGTGGGCCCTGAACAAAGTTTGAACATGTAAGGCAGACAGGCAACGGATAACTGACAGAGCAGAACAATTCCTGGATGAATGAGACACATGATGTGAAGTGACTGTGAGACATTGCAATATTAATACATACCGAGACTGAACTGCGGGTAATGCTCATAAATCTAACTGCAATTAGTACAGGTTTCTGGATTAGGAAGGACATGAAAAGGAAAGCAGAAGGTTAGAACGTACATGTCATTGCCCCATTAAAGAGAAGGCTAAATCTTTCAGTGGAATGAATGTATCCATTTTCTGCAGTCTGAGGACGAGGAGGAGGAGGGGATGGACAGCTTTTCCACTTGCTTTGAAATAAAGGTTTGCAGTAAAGAAGCTCTTCCTTTCCTTCCTAGGTGGGTACTAATAGATTAAACCTCTGAATGCTCAGCTAAAATTCTTAATACAGAAAATGTTTCTGTTTGTTCCCAGTCTCAGGGAACAACTCTGTCTTAAAGACAAGCACTGTACCAACTAATGTAACACCTTAGGCCTAAATTTCACTTTTAAGTATTATTTTCATTTTTAATGTCTTGAGAAGAGATTTAGACAGTATCCTATGATGAGAATATTGGCTAGTTTTATGTCAACTTGACATAAGCCAGTAATTTTCAAAGACAAAATCTCTATTGAGAAAAATGCCCTCATCAGTGGGCAAGCCTGTGGTACATTCCTTGGGATTGATGATTATGTGAGGAGGGCCCAGCTCTTGTGGCTAGTATTACTCCTATGTAGGTAGTCCTGGGCTATATAGCAAAGCAGGCTGAGCAAGCCATAAGGGGCAAGCCTGTAAGCAGCACTTCTCCATAGTCTCTTCTTTATTTTCTGCCTTTAGGTTTCTCCCAACTTCCTAGAATAATGGACTAGAAAATCTAAGCTGAAATATGCCCTTCCCCCACCAATTTTCTTATGATCATGTTTTCTGTGTGTTTGTTTGTTTGAAATCATAGTGCTGGGACTCCTAACTAAGACAATGAGCTTGATTTAATGCCCTGGGAAGGTTATGTCTGTTTTTAGAGATCCTCCTCTAACCCTCCCTACAGACTTCTGTGGAACGTCTGTTCTGTGCAAGGAAGCTTACATTGGAAAGGAAGAAGCAGAGTTATTCCAGCATCTGTCTAAATACAGATTATAATGGCATAGAAGAAGCACTTCTGGGCTCTAGAAAATATGAGTAAGAAAACTGGGAAGCTGGTGTTTTGAGAGGTTTGCTGGGATCTGAAGTAAGTGACTGTTGTGATAATGTTAGCTCACTGAAAGGAGGAGAAACAAGTAAGTAAAGGTTAAACTTTATTCCATCAGTTGTTTACCAGAGACTCAGATCCTGCTGATTCTTAGTTAATGGTAACTGGAGTTAGCTATGTAAGTGCTGGTCACTAGTTTCAGCAGAAGACACGAAATACAAACGTCGGTAAATGAAAAAAATTATCACTTATCTCAAAACCCAACAACAAATCCTAAGTAAAATCTTTATTTGATCATAGAAGACTCTTAAATGAAATTCTGCTTCTGTATGAATCAAATGTTTTAGTTCATATTAAATTCCAAATGATTAAGTTCTCTACTATCGGGAATCTTGGAAGGACCACCAAAAATGATAAGGCTCAGAGTAGGAAAAGATAATGGAAGGATGCAGAGAAAAAGTTAAGATAAAGTTAAGTCTCCATGTCATGGATAGGTACGGAAAGCAGGGAAGATTATAAGCCACCAACTTTTTATTCAAAATATTTAAAAACTCTGCACATTAAATATACTCTGTACACATAACTAAAATAATTTAAAGATTATCAGATATTGATAGCACCTCTGTTCCTTCTGAGAAGTTCCTTTTGTGCACAATCCATATATGTCACAAACACACAGTTAAAAAGAAGTCACAAGAAGGCTCCCTCTCCCACCTTTTCACTGTGCTCCATATTTTGCATCTTACCATTGATCTACGAATCAGGGACAGTCTGGTCTTTGCTTTATTTTCAGCAAATTCCAGGCTACTGATGTCTTTGAGACGAGCCTTATATTTATTCATTTGTTCTACAACTATCAGCTCCACACATCTGAAACAGGAAGAAAGAAAAACTATTATAAGCAGAAGTAAATCAAATGAAGTGTTGTATCTCTAGACTACTTTGTAACTAAGTGTCCTAGACAGTTTTGGGATCCTTTATTTTATGAACACCAAGAAAATTCAGAATGGTGGTTGACAACTCTATTTGCATTTTAGAAACCAACTAAAAATAGTTACAAATCCCAACACTCAGGCTATAATCCCAGATCAACTAATAAATCAATTAATGAACCTGGGAATGGGACTCAAGCCCTTACATTTTCCAAAAGCTCCTACTGCAGTCAGATCGAGGAAAAACAGAAATTAAAGAAAAAAGTTCAGGGTGAAATATGGGAATACTGAACTATTACATCCAAAGAATTGAGTGATAAAACCATGATTACATTACTACATGCGAGAGAGAGAGAGAGAGAGAGAGAGAGAGAGAGAGAGAGAGAGAGAGAGAGAGAGAGAGCTTGACAAAACAGAAATCCATTCAAAAACTATAAGCAGTCCTAAATGGAAACAAGCCTCAGAATAACCAAGATTCTGCTTAAATGCACTGGAACTTATGAAATCATTTACTGTGTTTGATATTTGGATAAAATGGACTACATTAACTAAGGTCCTCTAGAGGTGAATGTGGCTGGCCTTACGTGGTAGTCTTACTGATATCTTGTACACTTTGTAGTGGGTCAGTAGTGTCAGGGCAACGGAGAATGCAAGGTGCAAACACGATGGCCAAGGCATTAGCAGACATTCGATTAGTGTCTTCCTGTAGCGCAATCCTAAGGAATAAAGCAAAACCAACACAAGTGAGAAGAGGAGAAAATAACACGATAGTGAGAAGGCATGGAAGAGAGGACAATATGCCATCAACCCCATAGCACTGCAGAGATAACCACCTAAGCTTAAGGAAGACACTGCACACATCCCTAGAGCTATCCCTTTACCTGGAAAATGGACTTTTACTACTCCCTGAAACAGTCTGGGTCCTAGGCCAATGTAGAGCATATTAAGAGAAGTCTATAACCTGCTGCTTAAGCCCAACATCCTAACACATCTGCAGATGCAGAGTTGTACAGGTTTTTTTTTCTTAATTTTTTAAAAATGATTTATTTTATGTGCATTGGTGTTTTGCCTGCATGTATGTCTGTGTGACACTGTCAGATCCCTTGGAACTGGAGTTATAGATGGCAGTGAGCTACAGTGTGGGTACCTGGAATTGAATCCATGTTCTCTGGAAGAGCAGCCAATGCTATTAACCTCTGAACCACCTCTCTAACCCCTAGAGTAGATATTTTTAAGGCATTTCCAAACATACCCCACATCTGACCAAAAAGAGGGTTGTATTTTCAACCACTTCAAAAATTTACACAGGGAAAGATATCTACTACTGAAGCCTTTAGTCAGTCAATTCCTGAGTATAATCTGAACCCAGCTCTCACAAAGTAGGTTATGTTCAGAGACAAAAACTCTTCTAGTTCAAATGTCACCATGAGGTGTGAGCGGCTATATGCATTACTTTAGCAGTCACTCAATTTAGCAGATTAAGAATCCTAACCTTACTCTATGGGTTTATAGCACAAAGTTTAGAAACACAGAAAGGTGTTGTTTTTTAAGCATTGGTAAAGACCAAACCAAGGGCTTTGTACATACTAGGTAAGCACTCCACTGCTAAACTACATTACTAGGCAAGGCACTGTCTTCATATATATTCAAGTTCTTCATTTAAATGGAATCTTGACCACAGTCCCCAAAAGACCAGGCATATGGGTACATGCCTTTAATCCCAGCACTTGAAAAGTAGAGGCAGGAAGACAGCTATGAGTTCAAGTCCAGACTGATCTACACAGTGAGTTCCAAGACAACCAGAAATACATAATGAGAACCTGTCTTGAATAAGTTACCTAACTAGATGAAAGATAAGGCGTTCCAGTGTATTGAGATGAGTTCGGGAGAGCTGATCAATTACGGAGTACACACCACGGATTGTCTCCTTTCTTTCCTGAAGGCCTAAGAAAAATGGTAAAAATAGCAATTACACTGAATATCCCTGTTACATGCTATATCTTCTTCCTGGATGGAAACTCTATAGCAGAGAATGATGGCTCTAGTTTGGGGAGGCAGAACCAAGGTTCTAAGCTATTGGTTCCCTGTATTTGAATTCCCAAAGTTGAATTTGTTCCCCAACAGCCCTTGATGATAGCAAGGACGCAGGTATTTTAGTATTTTAGTCATTATGTGACAGACTAGTTTTTCATAAAAATCAACCAACTGTTCTATATAATTATAAATTCTCAGGTCCTAAATACCTCTACGTAAACCTTTACCAATATACTACACAGCTAAAGCACAGAGCCCATCTGGTATAAGAGACAAGACAGTTAGCTTCCGACCCAGTTCTTGCTTAGATTTACAACTGAATGAATGTTTTAACCCACCCTAAAATCTCCTACTTGATATTTTACTGTTTTAATACCCACATCTTTCAGTTACTTATGAGAAGAAACAAAGTGGCTTATTCAGAAACTTTTAGAAGAGTCTATAAGAAGTCAACATTTGAATAGGTAGTAATAAACTGGCAGTTTTGCATTGATTGTCACAAGCTTAATTTAGGACCCATAAAGGCTAATCTACTATAGGAGGCCTTAATACTGTATATAACACATAGCATTGCTTTATCAATTATAGGCCTTTCCTTTAAGCCCATGAAGCTTGTGCTTACCCATAGCTCGAAGGAATTCTTCATAGAGTTCAAAAGTCATGAGTGGATTGGGCAGATCACGAAGCCATTGTTTGAATACACTTGCAATGACATGTATGTTATAGTCATCTAGGTTCACACTCTCAGCATCTAGTTAGAGACAAGAGTTAGGTAACAAAGCAAACATGCAAAAGACTTAAACAGTACACTTCACAAAGTAAACCTACTAAAAGAAGCCTTCATATTTCTTAATTAAACAAATGTATACTTTCTACAATTTCATTCCATGCTTGGAATTGCCACTTCTAACTATAAAGGAATAGTGTTGGTGTCTGTGTTTTCTAAATATGTTGTGAACACAAATGTAAAAACATCACATTTTCATGAACTGCTGCAGAAATGTCTATTTGCTTGCTTTTGATTTTTGTCCATCTTATAGATTGGACTATGTACCACACTCTTGAGTACTAATGCTTCCGAAGTCCAAGGGGACTAATTAAGTCATTCATAGAGATGAGAAGGCAGAAAAATGTGACGGAAACATCTTCATCCTGTTTTGCTGTTGCGCAGTTCAAAAGTGAGCTAAATCTGACAACTGCCCCAAACTAGCACACACAAAGTTCTTAAAGTTAGAATTTATCAAGTTTTATCAGGTATTTCCTGTTATTTTCATAATAATTCATTTCTCACTGATGGTGAGAAAAACCATTGGGGTTCTCAGTCACACAAAGACAACTTTTGTCTTAAAAAGAACTATTTTCTTCTAACAATGATAAAGAATATATCTGGTTAATGAATCCAAAGGCAAGCCCTTGTATATACTCTGGGACTAAGCTTTATACTTGTTAAGTACTCAACTCACTACTAGTGTAAATAACTAAGTCCTCAATGTACATGGGCAGACAGGAAAATCTACTGCAAAGAATCCTGTCTGTGGTCAGAACAGTGAAGACTAACAGGCAGCACTTTAAATTATGGATTCAGAAAACACAGGACTAAATTCCAACACGGTCACTGGTTGGTGATAGGTAGTTAGATGAACTCCTCTGTCAGCCTGGTTCCTTATCTGGAAATGCAGATAAGTGATATCCCAGAGTTCTCAAAACTGTTCTGAGAATCTTTGTTGCCTTGGATCAACATTCTATTAATTTCCCTGAACCTACATTTTCTTCCTCATAAATTAAGGATATCGGGATTGTCTGTCAAATAGATTAAGATCTATTAAGATCTATTTTCAAGTACCTAACAATACTTTCTATAATTGTACTGTTGATATATGTTTGATGAATTTACCAAATACAGCCAAAGACTCAAAAATGGCAAAGAAGTACCCCCAAAAAGTTCTGGTCCTACATTTAGAGAAGTAGTATAAAATAAACCTGAAATAACTTTTAAAATAAAAGTGTTACATCTTGATTCAGGGCACACTCTCTTACCTGTATCTAGGCCTTGCCGCAGCTCCTTGATTTTATTAGTTGACCCAGACTTCCGGTAAATGCCTTCGGTGTAAAGCCCGTGCATCTCAATGTAGTTGATGAGCTTCTCCACCACTAAAGGAACAGCTCGGTCTTCACTTGTCAGACGGGACAGCTCCACCCCAAACTGCCGAGATGACAGCTCTGGATCATACTAAATCAAAGATAAATTTTGTTTCTAAATGCATTCAAACACTATAGAACACGCTTAGCCAATTTTATTTACCTAGTTTTATGCTGATAACCCTAGGAGTTGGGAGGAAAGGGAATCACAGTTTAAAAAGTACAAACTGATGAGCTAATAGCTTCAAGCATCTTCTGGTGAAAATCCACACAGAGAACAAGACTAGAGGCAGTGGCAATGGGCTGCTACTTCCTATCAAAAATCAATTCTAGCAAAAGCTGATGTTGTGTAGGAGAAGGGTGTTTGGTTTTGTATGAAAAGAAAAAAACCTTGAATATTTACCATGTACTTTGGAAAAAAATCACTGAATTTTTTTTTAATGAATTAACTTATCAGGAATGTTTGAAACACAAGAATATTTTGCCATTTCAAGGGTAAAACTTTATTAAAAACCTTACTTGCATCTACTTTTAAGCAAAGGTCTGGCCCACGATCAGGGTTAGCACTCCTTTCCTCACTTTGGCGGTGTATCTAATATACATGATTAGCTAGTTCAAGTGTCTGCAATTCAACAGCTTATCACTGAAAAAATTTAAGTAAGTCACACACAAAAATGCCAACGTCTAGATCTCTAGAAACTGGTTATCTAAATCTTTCTTTCCTTCTCTTTTATCTGCCTCCTCTAGCCTATTAATCACCTTCAACCTTCATCTCCCAACCAGTCGGCAAGCTTTTCGTTACTCAGCCTACCCTCTCTATGTCCACTTCTCAGTTGTGTCCCACCACCCTCTTTCAGCCTACAGTACTGTTTGTTTGAACTACCCCCCTAAGAGTATCAACACTAGTCTCCCCATGTAAATTTTCTCCTCCTCTAACAGATCCTATACGGGGTATCTCCCTTACTATCCTCAGACATTTTCAGTGGCTAGCCAGTATAGACAAAAGTGAAGTACATGCATTGTTGAGACTGATACTACACCTAAGGCCTTGAATTGATTTGATTTCTCGTCTTAATTGATACATTTGTCATTATAATCTAGGTACCAGGGAAACAAAAGTAAGAGAGAGCATCTCCCCTAAAACTAAAGCTAAGACATTACATTAGCATGTGGAAATAAGTAAAATAACACATTTACTGGGTAATTATAGAAACACAGGATATAAAACAGGAAAGTTTGAGCTGGGCAGTCGCTCAGTTGGTAGAGTACTGGCCTAGCTTGCTTGTGGCCCTGTGCTGGTCCCCAGCACTTGAGAGGAAGGAGCAGGAGAATCAGAAGTTCCAATTCATCCTAGGTTATACAGAGTTCCAGGCCAGTCTGAGATAAATAAGACCCTATCTCATAAAAACCAAACCCAAATTAAAACCAACCACCCAAAACCAACAACAACAAAATAGCAACTAAGGACCTCAAAAAAGATCTGATGCTTAACGCTGATGTTAGGAAGCAGATGATACCTAAGAAAGCAAGAGAGGCTCAGGAAACAAAGAGCCATGGAATCTGTAATACTGAGCCATTCAGTATGGCTAAACTAAGAATAACCAAAGCTAGGCAAAGGCTATAAAGTGCACTTGGACTTTATTCTGATAGCTAAGAGACACTACTGGAGAATTTTAAACAACCACAACAGGAGTCAGTTTTCTGTTATTGTCCATCTATACATTTTGCATGTCAGCAGTCAATTCTCAGAGAATTAATTCCAAATTTAATTGGAAGGATGTTAAACAAGTATCAAAGAACATCTCTAATACTACTGCTAGGTCTAAGGCAGAATATTGCACTTGGGAGGCAGAGGCAGGTGGATTTCTGAGTTCGAGGCCAGCCGGGTCTACAGAGTGAGTTCCAGGACAGCCAGGGCTACACAGAGAAACCCTGTCTTGAAAAACCAAAAACAAGAAAACAAAAAAAGAAAAACAAAACAAATAAGGCAGAATATTTATAGGATGCATATTAAATGTTAGTATTTTCACTCCATCAACTTGGCTAAACTTTTGCAATAAACTATTATATTCTACTTAGTTTTTAAGTATATATGGCATTGTACCACCTGGAGCAAATAATAATTTATTAAAGAAAAATATAATAATGATTACTGAAATGATTTAAGCAAAAATACACATTAACCAAAAGTTTTGCTACTGATATGATACATGTGTTGTACTTATTATATTTTAATACAGCATCAAAAAGTTAATAGCTGAAAACTGTGAAATAAAAACTAGAAAGTAGTCAAGGCTACTAAACAATAACTTGAAGTCAGCTAGGGTTGACCCTATGTAACCTGAAACGAACATGCCCCAAACTCTAAACATTCTTGGGGCTTGCAAGAGGGCACAGGGTAAAGGCACTTGCTGAATTGAACCTGAGCTAAATTAGGATTGGAACATGCAAATTGTTCTCTGACTTCCACATGTATGTAACAGCATCTGAAACAGGCTGCACTCCCACACACAATAAGTAAATGTAAAAAAAACTACATTTTAATAATTATTTTTTATTATTTTGCTGAAGTTTATCTATTTTAGTCTTCCCAGAAGCCAAAATTTTGTTTTGTAAGGTTTTGTGTTGTTGTTTTGCAGGGTTTTATATTGTATAGACACCTTAAGATTTCTCTTTATTATTATTTCTTCTGCTCTTTTTGAGTAGAATTTGCTGAGCTTTTGCATTTTCCTCCATGAGTTGTAAGTTTAGTCATGTCTAATATACTTTTAATATATGGATTTAAAGCTATAAAATTCCTCACTATTATTCTCACTATTTTCTCTATGTCACAGGATTATCATTAGTTAAAATATTTAAAATATTTTTCCATTTGTATTGTAATCTCTTAGAACATATCTGCAGGGCTGAAATCTATGTTTTTATCTGTCTAAATATGTCTTCTCAACACTTTCATTTTTTGCCTTCAGTACCAAGTGACAAAAGCCAAGGTTTTACACACATTAGGAAGGCACTCCATTACTGACAGGCTAACAAGGCTTTACACACATTAGGAAGGCACTCCATTACTGACAAGCTAACGTTTTCACTGCTGAACAGTATCACTGAGTATGATAAAAATCCCTTCAGTTGGCTCTCTTTTCTTCGAACACTTAAGATACCTTGCTTTTATCCATTGGCTTCCATTACTTCTGTTCAAAAATGAACTGTGCTTTATTTCATTGCATCTTTGGATAATTATATTAAGAAACAATACTTTTGTTTGGAGTACTGAACTGTTGTTTTCTTTGTATTTATCCTATTTTATGTTAAAAGCGCTTTACAATTTATGTATATTGGTTTGTAGCTCTGACTGTCCAGGAACTTGCTATGTAAAACAGGTTAGCCTTTAATGCAGAGATCTGCCTGCCTCTGCCTCCTGAGTCCTAGGTCAAAGGAGTCTGCTACCAAGCCTCAGTTAAATGCTTTTAAACCCTTATATGATATGCTGCCCAGTATCTCCTAAAATGTTGTGTCTACTTTGTTTTTTCTTTCTTCATATACATATATATATGCATGTGTGTGTGTATATGTACATCTATATGAATGAATATTTCATAAACTGAGAAAGGTGGTATACATTGTAATCTCAGTATTTAGGAGATAAAGATAGGAGGACCTGCAATTCAAGATCACCCTTGGCTAATGTAGTGAGTTGGAGACCAAACTGGGCTAATAGAGACCGTGTCTCAAAAATAAAACCAAACCAAGCCAAACAAACAAAAAACCAGGATCTGGGGAGATTGTCCAATGAACAGAGTACTTGTAAAGTACAAGCATGCACACTAAAGTTCAGATCCCTAGAACCCATGTAAACGCTGGATGGGTACAGTGGCCTGCCTAAAGTACCAGGGGCAGAGAAAAAGACTTCCCTGGGCAAGTCCCTGGCTGGGTCTGTGAGCTCTGAGTTTAGTGAGAGGCTGTAGTGCAGAGGGTAATCAAGGAAGACTCCTCAAGTTGGCTCTCCACAGACATACAACCACACATAGCACCTCACCTTTCCCCTGACATTCTACACTTTTCCATTCTTTTTACTTAATCTCCCAGCCTGGATATTTTGTGTGTGTAAGCTTTTTAGTTCACTGAACTTCCCTTCTGTGTAAGCTGCTAAACAATACCGAGTTTCAAGTTTCAACTGCACTTTTCTCTAGATTCTCCACTTGATTCTGTTAAATCTATACTATTATGTTTTATATATTTTACACTTAATCTATACTTAATCTAAATCTTGACATTGTGGAACTCTTTCCCGCCTTCTATATAGTCCTAAGAGATTGCTAAAACTTCAACCGTCTTCTCTGACTTTTGTATGTAAGATCTCTACACAGAATACTGTTTGGTGGTTGTTTTTCTTTGTTAGGTTTTTATTGCTGTGATAAAACACTATGACCAAAGAAACTAGTGGGGAAAGGGTTTATTTTGTCTAAACTTTCACATCACAGTCCACCATCAAAGGGAGTTACAGCAAGAACTCAAGGCAGGGTCTGAGGCAGAAGTAATGGAGGAACACTGCTTACTGCTTGCTTCTCTCATGGCTTGCTCAGCCTGCTTTCTTACAAAACTCAGGACACCACCTGCCCAGGGTGAGCCCTACCCAGGGTGAGCCCTGCCCAGGGTCAGCTAGGCTTTCCCATTATCAGTCACTAACAACTATTTTAAAATGGCCTGGCATGGTGGCGCACGCCTTTAATCCTGGCATGCCATAGGCAGAGGCAGGTGGATCCTGTGAGTTCAAAGCCAGTCTGGTCTACATAGTGAGTTCTAAGACAGTCAGTGATACATAATAGAAAGACCCTGTCTCAAAAACACAAAACCAAAACCAACAAAAAGGTTGTTTCCTTGAAGATACGTGTTCAGTACTTTTTAGATTTATGTACACAAGTACAAGTAGGTACTGGAAAATACCAGCTCTCTCAGTATACACTGTTGTTCATGGTTAAACGCTAATAGTGAACATTAACGATAATTCCTCAGAAGAACTTATAAATGCTTAACTCATCAACTTAGCAGCTTACATAAAGTCAAGATAAAAGGGTTCAAGAAAATTAATTCAATTATATACATAGATCTCCACTCATGTATATTGGACATAAAACATACTTCTTAATGTGATTTGAGGTCATGAAGTTTGAAAACAACTGTATTATAAAGCTACTAAAGAAGCCCAAAATATTATCCACATGGTGGGGCAGGAGAAGACGTGCAGATACACTGTGTACTACTAAGGGGCAGTAATGCCTTACCTTCTTAGAACACTTGGCTGTGGTTTTCAGACAGCACTTCTTATGGCAAGCGTACTTACACACTGGAAAACAGGTTAAGCGTACAACAATTTTAGTATGCAAATCAATGGCAAGAACTTACCAAGTTTACAACTTTGTTTTTTGAGGCTGTCTCTGATTTAAGGTAATTAAACACATTTTATTCTATGCTAACCTCTGTTAAGGGAAATGATGCTGAAAACCTGCCTAATATTTTCAGTCAGTGTCAATGAACAAGCGTTCTCTTCTTTCTAGGGTGCCCGTCTTGCTACTGCACTCATGTCTCCTACCCACACACTCAATTCCACCAGGTTATCTATCTTTATAGTTTGATTCACAAATTAGTATGTATGTCTTCCCAGGTGCTCTAAAACCTGTTAAAGTCCCAGAAACCCCAATTAAGAATAAACTATGGGCATAGAAAAGATTATTGTCAAGAAATGCTTACTGAAATAAATTGAAATTGTCAGTACATTAGAAAAATAGAAGATGGCTTATTTATTATCCCTTAAGGACCAGAATAGAATTCTTAGAGAAAATAATATAAGCGGAGTATTAGTTATAGTAGGGAACATAAGGTTAAAAAAAAAAAAGAAGTTCAGAGGAAAAATAATTTTTATCAGGATGACCAAAATATCTGAGGCAACTTCTCTGTCCTAGCCCAAAGTCATTTTCATGTCTGAAGCCTACTTCTTTGTTCTAGCCTAATATTTAGAGTCCTGCCTGAAATTACTTCTTTGTTCTAGCCTAACGTCAGATTCTTGCCTGAAGCCCACTTCCTTGTCCTTGGCCAATGTCAGATTCCTGCCAAGCAGCCCCAAAAGCTCTCTGCCTGTCCTTTTTTATTTCATAAACAAAACTGAGCCTGTCTAGGTCATTCTGCCAGGAATACCTTCCTTACCCATTGTGGAATATGCATTATCAATGCACTTCTGTCTTACGTTGGTAAGGTAAGGTTCTGTGTAGACTCTTACCTGTACTTGGCTTGCCAGCCTGTTAATTTAATGACTCCGTCTGGGGATTCATTTTCAGGTTCAAGCCATGTACTTTGGCTGCCAACATGTTGATGTTGTTAAAGACAAGTTTTAACATGATGGGCAGGAATAAAAGTATTCCCAGGACAAAAAGGGCTAGCATGATTAAGCTAATTTGCCATTCTTGAAGCTTGAGATATTTTGGTCATCCTAATTTAAGCCCTTAGAAACAGTGATCATGGGAGTATTCATGTAACTTTGTTTATTGCCTTGCTTGTTCTTTGACTATCTGTGTTTATTGTCTTGCTTGTTCCTGGACTATTTGCATCTATTGTATTGCTAGTTCCTCAACCTAGAACTGACCTTAATACTTGCATGTAATTAAAATGGCATAAAGCAAAAAGGGGGGTGGGATGGCGGGTTTCTAGGGAGGGGAAATGGGGAAAGGGGATGGAATCTTAAATGTAAATAAATAAAATATCCAATTTTAAAAAATAATTTTTAGGCTTGGGAGGCAAAGGTAGGCAGATCTCTGAGAGATTGAGGTCAGCCAGGGCTACATAAAAACAAAACAACAACAAACAAACACAACTTTTAGAGTGCCCAGTAACAAGGTAGCCACACAATTGGTGAGAACAAGACATTTTTGCATAGATGGATGCTGACAGCAAGGTGACTTCTGTCATTCTGTTCTACTAGTTCTTGCAAACTAACAAAATATTCTTTCTTAAATGCCTAATCTTTTATGTTTTCAAAGCTAGATCAAGTAATAAAGGCCAAGCTATTATAATGGTGAGATCACATAGACAGTCATAAAAACGAGTAATTCTAAATCCACATTGGCCATAAAAAAGCAAAGTGTCTAAATCAGTAGTTCTCAACCTGTGGGTCTCAACCCTTTGGAGCTCACATATCAGATATTTACAGTACGATTTCTAACAGTAGCAAAATTACAATTATGAAGTAGCAACAAAAACCATTTGTGGTGTGGGTCACCACAACATGAAGAACTATATTAAAGGGTCACAGCATTAAGAAGGTTGGGAACCGCTGTTTAGCCTAAAACCATAGTGTTTGAATTAGGTACATTTCAAACTATTTCCCATGATCAATATTAATATAATTTTCAAGACAACTGATAAGAAAATAAAAGGAAGTTCTTGCTTCATTCAAATTTGAATCAGAAATCTCCACAGGATTACTATTTAAATGTTTATTCCCCATCTAATGGCACCATTTTGGGAAGCCCGCGGAATCCTCACACAGTGGAAACTCACTGGTTGAAGTAGGTCACTATATGTGTGGGCATTTGAAGGTTACACCTTGCTCCTCACATAGGTCAGACTCTCTGCCTTTTGGTTTGCCTCTACCACAGCCCATTGCGCATGAAGAGCTAAAAAAATCTCTGAAGACATGAGCCAAAACAACTGTTTCTTTCCTTAAGTCATTTCTATCAGGCACTGTGGTCACACCAACACAAAATTAATACAGAAACTGGTACCAGAGAAGTGAGGTTGTTGTCGTCTTGACTAAACTTGACAGAGTCATTTTAAGCCTTTGACACTGATTTGGGAGAGGGCTATGGAAAGTATGGAGCTTAAAGGTAGCAAAGCCCTAGTCCTAGAGTGCTGCAAACAGACCTGGATGGGAAACTGTGGAAGGAGGCTGGAAAACCAGACTGCTAATAAGGATAGGGACAGTGGAGGCCAGGCTCATATGCTCCATGTGCGGACAATGATCCTATAGAGAATTGGACTAGAGGTCATTTAAAATTGCTGGCAAAAAAGTTATCTACATTGAACTAGGTTCTGAAAATCTGAATGAGGCTGAATTAAATGGCTAAATAATGTGGTGGAAGAAATTTCAAGAGAACATCATTCAGGTTGTAGTGTGGTTATTGCTGGCTACATTTAGCAAATTTTATAATGAAAACTTGAAAATGAAATTAAATATATATTCAGTTTGGTTAGGCAAGGGACACATAGGTATGGACAAAAAGACCCTGGTTGCTATAGAGTTTTAGCACCATTAAAAAGAAGATGGTAAATTTGCACTGGAACCATAGGAAGGGATCCTTGAAGACATTTTGCGCAGTCATGAGAGCCTGCTCAGAGTTCCAGGGTGGATAAAACTGCGATTCATTTGAAAGACTGCATTAAAACAAGGGTATAAATCATAGTGTTAAACTCACAAAGGGCTAACTAGCAAAGTATCTTCCAAAATTCAGCTGCTTAAGCACTAAGAAGTACTGCAATTACAGTTCAAGAGAGCTTAATTGTTATTCTAAGTGGGTATAGAACGTACATGGTACTTGTTTTCCAGACAAGTGAACATAAGAGAGGACAACGAAAGCTTTTCCCTCAAAGGTATCTAATACTTACATTTGCAAACAGAGGCTCTGTCCATTATCCATATCAAGGAAGAACAGTATTCACAGTATGTAGGGATGCTATACTGGGTAGCCTTAAAGATGTGGCCATTGTGCTCTTCCACCTGAATGAAGAAATGTCACTATTTATACTACAGCCAATTAAGTAAATGCTTCTCTAACATGGTTGGAAAATGGAAAATACTCCAACCTCTTGCTAAGACTTCACTGGGTATCTATTCCAGGTAGAGAATTATGATCCTCCAGAAATAATGAAAATAAAACATTGTTGGTTAAACTAACCAACAATGTACATATTATCAGTATCAAAAACAATGCAACTCAATGAGCATGTGATGCCTATCTATGACTCAGTTGCAAGGTAAACTGAAAGCAGCAGTTCTAATATGTGTGTTTTTCACTTCCAGGAATGTTTTACATTATTGAAAATCAACCATGACCCCAAAAGGCTTCTGTTTTCATCAATTATACCTATTGCTATTTAGAAATTAAAGCTGAAAAAATGAGCACATTAAGTATTAATATAAATTTTAATGTTCTTTCTCCTAAATCAGCTTTTTTGTTTATCATAAAAAAGAAAATGTTTTCATTATGACATTATCAATACATAGATATCTTTATTTGTCTGAGACAGGGCTTCACTATGTAGCCCTGGTTGGCCTGGAAACCCCTGTGTAGACCAGGCTGACCTTGTACTCTGAGACCCACTTTTCTGTGTCTCCCAAGTGCTGGGATTAAGGCCACCCCCATGCATGGTGTATCCTTGTTTTAATCTGTTTGTTCAACATGTAACTGGATTCCTATCTTAAAATTGTGAATCATTATAATCATAGCTGGGTAAGCATCTCTGTGCGATGCCAAATTAAATCTTTTGATTATATACCCAAAATATAATGCCAGATTATATGGTGTAGTGGCCCCTACAGACTCATGTGTTTGAATGCTTGACCCATAACAAATGGCACTTATTAGGAGGTGTGGCCCTGTTGGAGGAAGTGTGTCACTCTGGAGGCAGGCTTTGAGATTTCCTATACTCAGCTATGCCCATTGTGGTACAGTCTCTTTCTGCTACCTGTGGATCAAGACATAGAACTTTTAGCTTCTTCTCCAACACCAGGTCTGCCTGCACACCACTGTTTCCTGCCAGGAAGGTAATGGACTAATAAACCTCTAAAACTGTAAGCCAGACCCAATTAAATGTTTTCCTTTAGAAGAGTTGCCATGGTCCTGGTGTCTCTTTATAAAAATAAAGACCAAACTAAGACATAGCTCCTTTTGAGGAGCAACCATACTGATTTCCATCATGGCTGTACCAGTTTACGTTTTCACAGGAAGTGTACAAGGGGTCCTCCACTTTGCATATACCCTCACTTAATGACAGCCATTCTGAATGGGTTGAAGTAGAATGTCAAAGTAGTTTTAATCTGTATTTCCCTGATGACTAAGGGTGTTGAATGTTTTACGTGTGTTAACCATTTTACTTCTTCCCCCTCTTTTTTTTTTTGTTGTTGTTGAGAAATTTTAGTTGACTATTATCTTGCTTTGGTTTTTAATTCTGAAGTAATTTACTGAGTGATATATCAGATGTATAGGTGGCAGGTCACCCTTTGTCTTATTATGATGTTTTCTTTTGTGTTGTATTGTGCAACTCCATTTTGAAGTCCTTGGCATTATTTCCTGTGCTGTGCTATGTCACTGTGAGGATGTCCTCCCTGTGCTTGTAATCCTGAAGTGTGTTACCTAGGGTTTCTTCTAGCGGCTTCATACTTTCAGATTTTATATTAAGGTCTTTGATCCACTTTGAATTGATCGCTGCACAAGACGACAGATTGATCTTCTATTGACCTAACACACCTATTTTTGTATTGCTCCCACATTAGTTTTGTTACTGCAGCTCTGCAGCAGTTTGAGTACAAGTATTGCAAAACACCCAGCACTGTTCTTTCTTCTTAGGATTGCTCTGGCTGTTGAGGTATTTTGTGTGTCCATTCAAAATTTAGTCTTTTTTTTTCCTAGTTTTAAAAAAAGAAGTTATTAGAATTGTGAAGTAAAGTGCATTTACTGTGCAGATGGGGTTTGGTGATACAGTCTTATTTTCACAATATTAACTCTATCCATCCATAAGCATGGGAGATCGTTTTCCATCTTCGAGTATCTTCCTCCTTGATAACGTCTTTTTGTGTGTTGTTTTGTTTTTTGTATTTGTTTTTTAAAGCTAATATGTGTAGGATTTTTTTCTTAGCAAGTTCATTACTGGTAATAAAAACTATTTTATGTTAATCCTTATCATACTACATAAAGTATTTACCACATACAGCAGGGTTTTTTTTTGGTAGAGGTTTTAGGGTTTTGTGAATATATGATCATATTGGGATAATCTGACTTTTTTTTAAGTTTGTATTGCTTTTATTTTTATCTCCTTGTTTACTGCTCTAACAGACTTTGAATACAGCATGAATTAAGAGTAGAGGATAGGCATGGCTGTTTTGTTCCTGGTTTAGAGGAAATGCTTTCAGGGTTTCCCCTATTTAATATAATGCTGGTGCTTACTTTATCATATATTCCATTTATCATGTTGAAGTATCTTCTGTTTCCAGTGTCTTTAAGGCTTTTATCATGAAGAGATGTTGAACTCCGGCAAAGACCTTTTCTGTATCTATTGATACAATCTAATCTGGGTCCTTAAATATATGAGTTTTATTACATTTTTTGATTTGTATATGTCGAACTATTCTAGTATCCATTTATGGTACATGGTCTTCTTACGAAGTTCTCAAATTCTGTTTGCAAGTGCATTATTGAGAATTTTTCTGTCTCTGTTCATCAAGAACACCGATTAATCTACACTTTCAGTTTTGTTGTGTCCTTATCTGGTTTTAGTGTCAGGGTGATACTAGTTCCAAAAGTTTGATGAAATTGAGCAGTGTGTCTATCTGCTCTTCAATTTTACTTGTGTGTGTGTGTGTGTGTGTGTGTGTGTGTGTGTGTGTGTGTGTATTCCCTGATTGCTATTCTGACTGGAGTAATATCTGAGTAGTTACAATACACATTTTCCTGGTGGCTAAGGATGTTGATCCTTTCAAAAACATCTATTGCTCACTTGAATTTCTTCTTCTGAGAACTCTACGTCCAGAACATTTTTTAAACTGGGATATTTGTTTTCTTGTAACACAGAAACTTTTCAGTTTTACATCTGTCAATTGTTGGTCTTTTCTCGATGCAAAGTCCTTACACATGCCCACATCTTAAAGTGTTGTCTCAACTTTATTCTTGAGAAGTATCGGGGCTAATGCTAAGGTCTTTCATTCATCTGCAGTCAGTTTTTATGCAGACAGAGATAAGAATATAGTTTCATTCTTTACATGTAGAATACCAGCTTTCTCAGCACCATTCTAACATATTAAGATTATAACTCAATAAAGAAAACCAACTTTAAATAAGTAAATGCTGACTACCCCATCAATGAAGTACAAATGACTAGCAGACAGGAGAAAATGTTAAACATCATTAGACATAAGGGAAATATAAATTAAAATCACAATAGGCTACACAACCAAAAGAATGTCTGCAACAAAAAGATACACAGTAACATAGGGTGGTCAAAGTGTTGAGATTAGAACTCTTTCAGCATTGTAGGTAGTATTTCTTACTTGGAAAACATGTTAGCAGATTCAGAAATTTTAGCTAAAGTTAAAATCATATGACCCAAAATTATACCTTGAAGATTATTATACAGAAGAGAAATCATAGCATACATCCATAAACCAACTCAACTCCTATCAAACAGTAAATAAAGTGTGAAGGAAAAGGTTAGGGCTGTAACTCAGTGGTAGAATAATTACCTAGCATGGCCAAGGTCATCAGCATAATCCCCCACAAAGTAGTGTGTCTACAATGTAATTCTACTGAATACTAAATGTAGTTGACTATGGATGAATCTCAAGAATATCATGCTAAGAAACCATATGCAAAAACAAGGAATTGTACAATTCCATTTTCATGAGATTTTCACCAAGAGCTAAACTATAGAAATAGTAGACATGTTAGAAGCAGTTATTTAGTCCATTTTGAGAAATTCCACTTTAGAAACTTACAGACCACATGAAGCTCATGAAGAAGGAAGACCAAGTGTAGGTGCTTTGGTCCTTCTTAGAAGGAGTAAAAAAAATGTGAAACAGAAATTGATGGTCTGGAGACCATCCTACCTGGGTATCCATCCCATGTGCAGTCACCAAAGGTAGACGCTGATGTGGATGTCAGGAAGTGCATGCTGACAGGAGCCTGATATAGCTGTCTCCTTAGAGGTCTGCCAGAATCTAACATATTAAGAGGCGGATGCTCACAGCCAACTACTGAACTGATCAAGGGGTTCCCAATGGAGGAGTTAGAGTGAAGACTGAAGGAGCTGAAAGGGTTTGCAGCCCCATGAGGAGAGCAACAATACCAACCAACCAGAGCCCCCAGGGTCTAAACCACCAGCCTGGGAGCACTTAGGGAGGGACCCATGGCTCCAGCTATGTATGTAAGGGAGGATGGCCCTGTCAGGCATAGGTGGGAGAGGAAGCCCTTGGTCCCGTGAAGGCTGGATGCCCCAGGTTGGGGGAATTCGAGGGTGGGGAGGTAGAAGTGGGGGGGCGGTTGGGGGTACATTCTCAAATAAGTGGAAGGAGGGGGGATGGGATGAGGGTTCCTAAGTGGGAAGTGGGTAAAGGGATAACACCTGAAATGTAAATAAAAAAATCAAAGAAAAAAAGAAAGAAAGAAAGAAAGAAAGAAAGAAAGAAAGAAAGAAAGAAA